GATGCGCGCAAGACGTTCATACAATGGCCCAAAGAAGACATAGTTGTGAAGATGACTCCTCGTCCAAGTCGACCGATGGAGCTCACACCTCCCAAGTCTAAGCTATCAATTGAGGCTCCTCGTGGACCAGCATTGTCGGTACCTCATTCTCCTGGTGGAGCTGATATGGACTTGGCAGATATAGCTCAAAGCTTGGCTCCAATAAAGACCACAAGAAAGGCCAATAGCTCCCCACCACTTGTCAAGGGCCAGAAGCGTGAATGCGGCAAGGGGAAGGTCGGGGAGTTGGCGCCGGAGCCAAAAAGGGGCAAGGCTGCGACGTCGATGCCGATGAGCAAAGCGGGGAAGGTCGTGAGGGCGCCAGCCCAATTTGAGCTAGGCATGCCATTGGTGGAGGACAATGTGTTAGCCGTGATGGGTATTGCTTGCCGAGAGCTACATAAGCAATACATGGAGCTAAGCAATGCCAAGCGGAAAATGAGGGAGTCATCCATAGTTGGACATCACGACCACCAGCCGTTCCTATCATTGCCTGCCTATATAACTATAGGCTTTGATGACCTCTTCGACCTTTTCAGGATCCGGAAGTTAGACACTGGTCTTCTAAAATGCTACTCCTTGTAAGTGCATACCTTCTATACTTGTGATATGATTGGACTATATCTCCTAATTAAATTAGTTCTAATACGTAAATGTTTTAAGGTTTTGTTGGATCGAGAGTCGTCGCCTTGGTAATCAGGTTGGGTTCCTTGATCCATCCATGGTGAACGAGGTTAATTTACGACAGAGCTTCACTGAGGTAGTTGACTATGTCAAGCAGTGTTTATGGGCCCATCAAGACAAGGAGTACATCATGTGCGCACACAACCAAGAGTAAGAGGACAATACCCTTTGTGTATATTATTTTTGAAGTTAAGGTTATTAGTACTAACGCTACGTAGCCACTACGCAGGCGACATTGGATTCTCCTAGTCATCGTACCTAAGTGGAGTAGGGTTACCTACCTTAACTCCAATAAGTCCAAAGATTATGATTTCACTGAAATCACCAAGGCCTTAAATATGGCTTGGGGCCCATATGTGGAAAAGGGTGGTAGGCACAAGGAGGGCAAGGACGAACTTTACCATGACACCAAGTTCGCATGCGCACAACAGATCGGAGACCAATGTGGTTTCCACATGTGCCACAACATGTCAACACTTCTAAGAGAGGTGAAAGATTTCGACCCTGAGGTTGTTGCTAATGGCGAATAAGCTCATTTCAATACCAACATTGCTATTCAAAACGTGCTAACATCTTATTTATTAAACAGAAAGGTAGAGCTGGCTTCAAGATCTCACCCATCAACCCCCCCGCTATCAGAGGCGAAGTGTGCGCCTTCATTCTGGCAGAAATAATGAACAAGAAAGGACGTTTTCACGTCAAATAGACTCATGAACTTGGCTAGATAATTTATTGTGATGTAAAAAAGATGTTTTCATAATTTCTTGTGATGTAAACAAATATGTTTTTATGGAGTGCAATGTAATTTACTTTCATATGTGCAATATTTATGGTAGTTTACTAAATTGTCATCAAATTTGATCAACTATGATTTACGTTGTACTATTCATATGTTTTCTCCTTTTTTTCCTTATTGACATGCTGTGGAGGTCGAGGACAATATGGCTTTAATCCATTTGGTAAGTATATATGCGGTTATATGAGCAACGACTAAAATTGTGGCTTTCAAGGGGTGTGAATTTGCTGTGCAAAATTGTGGCATTTGAACTGCATATGTGAATGATGTCAATTTTTGATATGGATCTGTGTTGTTGGGGATCTGTGATGTTTGAGATGGATCTGTGATTTTATATTGGGGGGTGACTGGAATATATCTGTGATTTATCTGTGTTTCAGAGGGCATGACTAGCAAATCCTGAGGCTAGCCAATATTTAGCATTTATTTTTTTTTTTGGAATTAACTCATCAGTGACGGGTCGGAACAAAAATCCGTCAAAGGTAACATCATCTGTGACGGACTAGCAAATAAAGGCCCGTCAGAGGTGACCTACCTGTGACGGGCCTTTACTTTTGGGGCCGTCATAGGTAGATCACCTGTGACAGCTTCTAACTACGGAGACCATCACCTTTGACGGCCTTTATTTAAAGGGCCGTCAGAGATGTGTCACCTGTGACGGGTCCCAACTCGCCTTAGGCTAGCGGAGACCAACACCTCTGACGGCCTTCTAGTAACTTGCCTGTCAGAGTTGGGTGTCACCTGTGACGGCCGGCCACCCGTCAAAGGTAACTGGACTCACCAGTGACCACTGATCACTGACCATGCATGAAGCCGTCAAAGATGAGGGTTTGGGCCCGTCACAGGTGACCTTGGCCAGTGTAGTCGAATCTAAGTTTCCATAATCCATAAATAATAAAAAAAAGATTACGCATCATAGAATTATCGATCGAGGATATGCTTACCTAGATTTCCCATCCCTGCCTCCGAGTGGGATATTTATCACCGTGCGTGGCGTGGAGACTGGAGACTCGATCCATCCCCGTTGGATCATCACTACAGGCGGCGCGCGCCGCCTGTACACAGCTAGCTTAAATTTTAAGGGCACACACAATATGATTCCCCGCAAAAAAAAAAAACTGCATATGATTAATGAAAATCATTGCTCATTGATAGTATTTGTAGCAAAAGTTATCAGACACCTAAACTACCACAGTTGCTAGTAGTTATAGTTACAGCACAATCATTTTTTTTGACATAATTACAACAAAAGTTCCTAATGACAATTAACCCATACGAAAGAGCACTACAACACTGAAGATAATCCACATTCATTCAAAGCCACACCACCGTTGGTTTTCGGATGACCAAAGGGTTTTGCACTAGTTGACCTACTTTGCATATCAAATACGATGAAAAGGTATAGCTGCACTTTAAACTGTTAAAACATCTATATTTTCATTGAAGGGCTAGGCATTTGTCATGCTATGGTTAAATTTGCTTCCAGGAAATCTTAAAACAGAAAACCAAAACAAATGTTTCAAGCATTCAATGGAATCACCCTCTGCCTCTCGTCCTCCACCAATTACCTTTTCTACACCAAAAGCTCAACTAAATTTCAGTACAAACTATGGGTATAATATAATGCACTCGGTACCATGGGGCCTACATAGGAAGAGCAAACAATCAGTATTATAGCCATTTCATCTCTAATAGGACATGACAGTAAAATAAACCTGGAAACAAGCACATGACGGATTTTATCCTTACTATATTAATTTTCAAAAGATATATTTGTGGCACGGGATATAATTTTTTATTTTGTCATGATACATAGGAGGAAATCTGGTAGGGTTAAATTTCTTCGTGATTCTTTTTTAAGTGTCACTAAACATGGATATTATCTTAAAATCAATTTAATACATTAATAATGCATTCAGTACACGTAACGGAAGAAAGGTCTAAAAGCCTAAGCTTATTTCAACTATTAAATTTGAGTCATATCTTAGTATGATTCAATAACAGAGAAACAACGAAACTATAGTGAAAGTATACAAATCATCAACCTTCACCAAGACCACTTTAGGAAATCAGAAATACAATACTACGGATGGACATCCATTAGTGCCAAGGTGGGCTCGATTTCTGTTTATAAGAATCAAGCTTGGCCGAGATTGCTGAACTGACAATTACGACACTTACCCAATCCTCTTGAAAATAATATCTTGTCTCCTTTTGATCATAGATCAAACTGTGGAGAACAAAAATGTTGGTTCCAATCCTCTTGAAAATAATATCTTGTCTCCTTGTGATCATAGATCAAATCGTGGAGAACAAAAATGTTGGTTTCTGCTTTCTTCAGATTCTGCAGTTAATGACCATAAAAATTAATGTGTATGATAATGATCTGGTCAGACATTGCACAACTGACACCAAATATTACAAATCAATAGCAGCGCCTCCTTACCATTTCTTATAAAGATAGTCTAGGGAATCTAATAAAAAAGAAGCCTGCTGAAAGAGAAAGTCGTAAGAAACAAGCTCCAAACATCAGAAGACTGATTTTCCAATAGACATAATTAGTGTCCCCTTCGGATGTGTTTCCTGTTTTTTGTACACTTTAAATGAAGATGCAATGGACATAAAAATAAAGAGCTTATCATTATCACCTTAGTAGTAACATCAACTGGAACTAAAGATCAAAAAGTTCTCTTCAGCTTTTTAACCGGAACTAAAAAATAATCTTTAGTTTCAATTTTTATTCGAACCAGAACTAGTGTAGTTTTTGGTGACCCAACAAAGATCAGTCTCCGGCAGTGGATCTGAACGGTAGAAGCATAATGGATCCTCACCAGGCACCGACTGCCGTAGTGTCACCGGCCACAGTGCTTTGATCAGCTGAAGTTCTAATTGACTTCTTGATTGAACGTTCCATCTATAATCTGTTCTTTTTCCCCTAAACTACTACGTCAATACGAATTACCCCCATAATCTGCAAAACCAGACATTCGACATCTTTATTGGTATTTCTTACGTTTACAGATAAATCTACAAGTGCACTGATACCGATATAGCACTTCACTCATGAATATTCTTAAGGGTATCATATTTATATTTCACAGGGAAGACAGTGTCGTAAAGATAATTATACATCATTAATCAATCTGTAATTAATCCACCATAATTTAAAAGGGGTAAGATAATATAATTAAGATAGTAGACTCACATGAGATTCACCTCTGTATTAATGTTTAGTAGAAAAAATATTAGGGAATTATGATACAACTGTATTTTTATACTAATAATGTTTAATATATAACTAGTACATGCTTACGATATAGGACTAAGTTCCAACACCCAGGTTATTTGTGCTTCTATACTGAGGAATGGCCTTTAGACAAACCGATGGGCTCTGCGGTGGTTTTCGAGTCACTAGAGCCGTTTTCATCCTAGTCGCGACGTGTGTTATGTGTATCCAGCTGTGTACTGTGCGCGGTGGCCACGGCCACACGCCTCAGCCCAACTGGGTACTGGTAACGGCTAGTCCGCCGCGCCACGAAACCTCCAAACCCTCGCCTCCTCTCCTCTCTACTTTCTTGCAACCATCCATCCTCGCCGTCTCCAATTCCCTCGTCTCCTCCGCCCGATGGCCTCCCACATCCACGCCGCGGCGGCGGGGGACCTCCCCCTCACCGGGATGCACGACCTCCGCCTGCGCCCGCGGCTTCTCCGCCGGGTGCTCGCCGAGTGCCTCCCGCTCCCGGATCCGGCCGCGGACCTCCAGCCCACGCGCAGCCCCGCCGACCTCGCCCGCGCGCTCTCCGCCGTCCGCGAGCAGGGACTCCTCGCCGTCGAGGGCGCGGCGGACCCGGGGCTGCTCGAGGAGTGGAGCGCCGCCGTGGACGCCTGGGTCGACCGCCTCGTCGCGCTCCTCGCGAGCGACAGGGTATGTCTCCGCGTCTCTGCCTATCCCCTAGGTTTCCTTCCTATACCTGCGAGTGCGATCCGATCACGTCTCCCGTTTTTGTTTCGTCAAGTATTGGTGAATCATTATGTCTTTGTTGGGGGCGGAATTCACCCTATTTTGAGATTTTCTTTTATGCTGGATGACCAGTGCCAAGTTCCGAATTTTTCCTTTGGTAGTTTGGTTTGATATTAGTACGACGTGACCAATGTTAGATGCTCATCCTCTCTTGAGGACGTCTTTCATACTAGGCAACTGTGACCATTAATCAGGCAAGTTGCAAATCAAGAAAGGAAGCACAATTGTTGACTCTGCAACCTCAACTGCACATAGAACGCACTGTACTTCATCATCTCTTCTGTTTATCAGCATCACTGAGTTCTTGGAAGTTCAGTCTCTGGTGCACTGGGGCCAAGGCCCAAGAGTATATTTATATGGCATATTCGCATTCACTGTCAATTTAATATCTTAGATCATGTGATTATGAGACAAGCCGTCCACAACTCTGCATAAGAGGTTTATTTGAGTTAGGTCCCTTTTGAAATGGAGATTTGTATATGTTTTACATGAGCAGTTGAATGATCAAATCCCTTAGGGACCAAGGACAGTTCTCGCATTTTAAACAGGTCTAACAGGTGTTGATGACTGTCACCCGATTATAGACCAAGACGCTATCACATATATAGTTGACTAGCTAAAGCTAATGACAGTAGCCGATGAATATGTACATGACTAAAACATAATGATATCAACAGTTCAACACTCCAGCACTGCAATTTACACAAAATTTCACCAATTTTATAGGGTATGAAGATGAAATTGCATTTGTCTGTTGATTGTTTGAACATTTGTCTTAGTGAAAATTTCAACCATTTTAACCCTCAATACTTGTTATCACCTCTTAGATAATATATGGATTATCTATAGAAAACTGATTCATTTTTCTAGCAATTATTTCTGCTCGAAAATATAACTTAATACTGTTATTATGTGCTTGGGAGATTGAGAAATTAAGGCAGGTAGAGGAGAGGACCTCCCTGGTTGCCAGCACTGGAAAGCCTCAACAGCACAGAGGACTGAGTCACGAGCGCATGGCAAAATGAGGGACAGAGAGAGATAGATTGAACTTGCTTGATTTCTCAATAGATTTGGCCGCCATTATATGATAGGTTCCCCCTAATAGATGAGGATTCAAATCTTTGACTCCGAATCGATGACAACTCTGACTCACACTCTTCTTGATATCCTTCTCATGTGCCTAGGATCATGACTCCCCAATTGGGCCACTAGCTATACTAGAGCTCAACGACATCATCTCTCCCTGCAGAGACATCTTGTAGTCGAGCTGAAATGAGGGATTGCTGTAGATCATCCTTTTTGTCTAATACAGAGAACTCCAGTTTGTGATATTGAGGACCCTAGTGCCTTCCTTGTCATCTTGCGTGCATGCTGGAGTTGTAGCAGTGCTATTTCAATCATGACACCAAGATACTGTTGGCATCACCATAAACCTTCATCTTCTCGATGTGTTTGAAATGTGCTTTATGCCTATCCAGGTGCATGTTGATTGTGAAGAGCTGAGTGTTCTCCGTATCAAGCTGCTTAGTCTTTTCTTCAAGCTTCATGGTGTTCTTCAGCATGGTGCCCTGGATTCCAGGTGTGATGGATCTTGACACTGATAACATTCTGTTGTGTGCTGGGGCAATGAGAGCAAATAGAAGAGGGATCTCCCTGGTTGCTGACAACATATTATTAGGATTCAAGTTGCTTCTAGCATCCCCTGGATCAGGATTCTATCTTTGATTGTGAAGTCCGTGACTTGACAACAATGATGACTGGACCATGATTCTTGGAGTTGACTTGACTAGGACTTTTGTAGATGAAAACTACTCCCACTCAGACTCTCTTGCGATCCTTCTCGTGTCCCCAGCACTGCGACATATGTTGCCTTGCCCCACGCTAGACTGCTCTGTCCTGTGCCCGGAGCATGATTCCCTATCTTAGCTATGGGCTGTACTGTATTCCAACCATAACAAACCTTCTGCTGGTATCTTCTTTTGTTTTGCTATGTGATAATATGATAACTCAACAAATTAACAGTACTATAACTGCACTTTTACTAATATACTACCCTATTCAAATTTTGGTCAGGAACACAGTTGTTGGGTGGGCACTTCTTTTCTTGGTTTGACATTTGAAGAGTGCAGTGAGGACCGCTTTGCAAACTCATACTCTTTCTGGTTTGAGAAGATTATGAAAAAAATTAAGGTAACATACATATTTTAATGCAGTTTTAAATACATGTATTCACATTTTGTAGGTTTCATGCATTATATTTCTCATAATTCTGTTGTGAACTATATGTTTTTTTTTTTCACTTTTTTGCAGTTCTAATGGAAAAGAAAGTTTGACATTTAAGTTACTATATGTGTGATCAGATGATAGTGAATTTTGCTGTTATAAATATTTAGATATTTTAAGAATGTGCAGAAGAAATGAGGAATCCTCAGTACAACTCATGCAGACAATGTTGTTCTAAATATGATTTAGCACACTAGACATTCTATTGAACAATCTATTTTGGTCTTAGTAATCGTTGATCAATAAAATTCTGAACAGTGAATGCAAATGAAGAAGTTGGGTTCTGGTTCAACTCTATCCTTATTTCTTTTTGCTCCTAGATCCAGAACATTTTAGTTTGCACACCTTGTTAGAAGGCAGGAAAAAACAGTCCAAACTTCAAATGCTTTTGGAATGCTCAAAAACAAACTATAAGTGAAGGTCAATCTGAATTTTTTTAATAGGAGGGTCTATCTGAATTAATGTAGGCAAAAAGAACTTTTATGTATTAGGATTCTTATGTTCCTGTTTAGTTATTTTCCTGAAATCTAGGAAGTAATTGATCAGCTCTTATAATGATCCACAGAGTTGTTTCTGGTCTTCCTGTAATATAAAATTACAATATTGTTCTATTTCAAGCTGTATGTGGGACTGAGATTCTGTCTACTTTTTAAAACTACATTACCTTTATTTTCAATTCATATTACTGATACATGACATGCCAAATAATTATAAATCAAGTCATTACAGTCTGTGACTGAGTGACTCTCTACATAAGGTGCTTCAGAACATAACTGCTTCAAACAGTTGTATCCATTTCAATTCCCTTTTATTGTTACTAATCAAATTAACATATAATTTGTTCCAACACATGCCAATCTACAAACAGAAGAATGGTATCATCTAAATTATTCTGTTTATGTTCCAAATTTGATTATTTATGTTGTATTAGTATATAATATGGATTGTCTCATGCATGGCATGGCTATTGTTTCTTGGAATATAAACTGATAGATTCTCTATAATACTTTGAGCAGGTCCCATCTAGCAACAAAATGGTAAGCATAGCCACTTGTACTGCTATGGCTAGTCTGTTTATGAGGTATGTGACATGTATGGCTAACTGAATTTTTTTGACTATCCTATTGGGGAGTGCATTTATGATCATTTAATAGTAAAGCATAAAGGAATACAAATGGGTTGCAATGTTTCAACAGTGAGTCAACATCTATCACGTGTGGTTTTCATGAACACATCAGCTATATAGAGCTGCAAAAATTGTACAAGTAAAATAAAAAGAATGCATAGGACATGGTAATAAAATGCAAATTCCTTCAAAGAGAAAATATATACGAAGATGAGGTTAAACCTTGAAATTAAGCACTTTTAGTGGCATTCTAACGTCATTTCATTATGGATGTAAAATATTACAACTCCTTACTATCTTTGTTTGTAAAATTTGTAGTCTTTTGAACTACAAGTTTAAATGTGCAGTTTGGTAGTTTGTTATAACCTATACAGGTTGTAACTTATACTTGCCCAAAGTATTATTATATATAGCATATAAAGGCCCATATTCAGCAGGTGTACCAGTGGCAAATCTAGTACAAAAGTTACCGAGGGTCCTATACGTACTAATGATCTAACCATTGACTAATATGATAATTAGCATGGCATAAGTCAACTAGAGGAGAACAATCTACCGATGGTCCTGTGTTGTGCACATGGGAAGATATACATAGGTATGCCCCTGAGGCGTACTGCTTGTGTCTGAGAATGCATGATTAAGGTCCGTACTAGATGATCAAAACTTGGAGTTCTATGTTATTTCTGTGTTCATGACAGTAAAGTTCCTTAGTTGTTTCACTTAAGTCAAACTGACTAATTAAGTCAAAAGAAAAATAGTGCGATTGATCATGCAGTCACCAAACTGGGTTGCCACTGAATTTTATTGAGTTCAACAATCTCAATAAAATTCTTTAACAAGGGGAGAATTCTAGTGGAGGGCATCAATGGAAAAAGCAATGTGCACCACTCCTAAAAAGCTAGCATTATTGCTCATTTGTTGCAATTTCATAGTATAAGAATGCTTAGCATAAAAGCAAGGCAACCCATATTTTTTTTAACAGATTGGCGAAGTTTTCAAATTTAAAGGACGAGGCAACATTGTTAGCCCAAAAAGTTGTCCAACCATTGCTGCGGCTGTTGGACAAGGATGGTTCTGTTGCGGTATAAGCTTCTTTACACTTCAAGCAAGATGATTTCCTAAATACAAACTTCTCCACTAAGAAAATATATTGTTGTTTATGTGTGCAGGAGAAAGCAACTGACTTACTTGGTTTAATTATGAAACTCTTCCCATCATCAGTATATCGGCACTTCAACAAAGTATGAGCTACTTTATTTGTAATCTCCTTTGTTGTTTGTGAATTTCTTTGTTTGTACCAGCCACATCATAAAAGTATAGTGAATTTCTTTCTGGTTATTGTTTTACATTTTGATTGTCCAGTGCCATTAAAATGGAGTGATTAGACAGCATTAGATGTATGCTAACTTGTACGGGTGTCTGTGGCTTTTGATCGTTCATATTACTCCTTTGCCTGATTTTCATCATGAATATTCATAACCTTCCTGTTCCTTTAGACAGGTTGATTGAGCATTTCCTATATAATACTCCCTCTGTTTCTAAATGTTTGATGCCGTTGACTTTTTTAAATATGTTTGACCGTTCGTCTTATTCAAAAAATTTAAGTAATTATTAATTCTTTTCCTATCATTTGATTCATTGTTAAATTTACTTATATGTATACATATAGTTTTACATATTTCACAAAAGTTTTTGAATAAGACGAACGGTCAAACATGTGCTAAAAAGTCAACGGTGCCAAATATTTAGAAAAGGAGGGAGTATACAGAAAGTCACACTGATTGAAAGTTTGACACCAAGAAATTGCTGTTATTTCTTGAAATGAATCTCATGTTCAGCAACTCCTCCTGGTTTGTAGCAAAGACATACGGATAAACTTGTATTCCAGAGCAGGCTGGTAACCTGTCTAATGACCCCCAGGAATGAAGTCCAAAATTTACACAGATATCACCAGGAATTAAGTCCAAGAATTACACAATTTTCATATTATTTTGGGTACAGTGATTTATTTTTTTAGGGTTGTTTAGATCCGTTTCTTCCAATGTTTAAGTGATCTGGACTTTGTTTTAAACATAGAACATAAAAGGAGCAGCATAACAATTCACCATACTTAGAAAAGGATTCATTATTGGAACAGATAATCCAAACCATCTTGCGATTCTGGATATGAAATTAAATGAAGAACACACTTCTATTTATGTGGGGAATCTAAACCATATTTTGCTGACAGTTCTTTGTAATTTATTTTATAAAAGGTTTTTGATCATGTGTAGTGAAGTGATAACTGACGCATATCCGTCTGTTATGGGCTTTATCAGCGCAAGCATGTCCACGGAGAGATTTATTTCATGTAGGCAGTTATGATATGGTTTGGTTGGCTAACTTCATGTCCTATGATTTTGGTAACTGCCATTCTTGTATCTGTAGATGTCGGATACATGTTTAACATTCAATGGCTATTATTCTTCTATGCTTTCATCCAAAGGCTTCCAATTTTTCTATGATGTGGCTTATTGGGAATGCTTATTTTAGTAATCAGAAGTATAGGAATAGAGAGATTATAATAACCTCTACCGCTCATTCTGTTGTCATAATTTGTTGGTACCTTGAGCTCAAGTTGATTTATGAATCTAGCACGTCAAATGCATCTCTTACCTTTTACCTGGTTTGACACATTAAGTACAAAATGGAGAGCACAATCTGGCTGATCAAAGATTCACAGTTTCCATCTGGTCGGTAGCATACCCCACACTCATTTCTTATATGCCTTGCAATGATATTTCTATGTGACAATATGATATACGCTCACCTTCACAAGTATATGGATAATGCTGACATTCTTACATCAAAGTGTGGATCTATTGGTTGTGTCTCACTGACTGTAGTAAGTTTTATACTGATATTAGTAATTTCAGGTTGAATCCATCATTGCAGCAAAGATTATGAGTGGTCAATGCAATCTACAACATTCAAAGGCATGGAATTTGCTTTTATTGAACCATTTTAATTTTCATTTGATTCCATCATTGATTTAGTTTTCATTATCATCAGTTTGCCACTTGTGACTGATCCTTTCATTTTTCTCATCTTTCAGAAACTTGCGAGCACTTTAGCACTATTGCCTTGTGTCAGAGTATCACATAATAGTTTGTCACTGATGATCCAGAAGATATTGGTTGTGGTCAACAATTTGTTAAATGGTAGTTGTGTTGGACTGGATGAAGGCAAAGATATTTGGTGCCTCATTTTTTACCTTCTCAGTTGTACTACAATTTTGTGCAATGTTGAACCACAAGTTCATTTTGCAGGCTATACTGGATTTGAGTTGATGCCACTAATTTCACCTGGAAGTAAACCTCCACCACTGTCAGGAGGCCAGACAACCTATGGAGATTGGAACTTTCATTCAGCAAAGAAATTTTGCACATTTGCAGTTCCTACAATTTCAGCACTTATACACTGCTGCTCCATGATGTTAACTACTTCTTATCCAATTCAGGTTTGTTAGAAACATTGTTTTTGCTTTTAATCTTTAGCACTAACAGACATTCTTGGGCCCTTATTTTAATTGAAGGTGAATATTCCAGTGCCTGCGGTGGTAACTTTTATACAACGAGTGCTGCTGACAGATGTAACATTTCATAAATCATCACTAGTACAACAAGACACCCCTTCATGTCATCTTTCTTTTTCTGAGATTCTAGAACTGCATTCATCTTTCTTGGATTTTCTTGGTGCCATTATTAAAGGAATGCGCAGGTAACATGCATTCTTGATCTTTTGTTTCTGCCTTACTTTCAAAATTATTCACACACAAATCACCAGGATTGGTGAGTAATTGTGTGATCTTTCACAAAAAAAAAATTTAAAAGAACATATGAAGAAACAGAACACATAATTCCACACACGCGCACACACACATCATTAGCAGACAAGCTTCAGTACAATATTTGAAATTTATGATCTTTAGAAAAATAACTTTGATTTTTTGTTTGTCTAAATGATTTCCAGAAGTGCTTTATCACTTGAAATTTTGCAAATGAGGCTAATGATGATTACCATACCCCTTATCTAATTTAATTGCAGTTGGTACTAGCTATAGTATTGTAGCCTTCATAGATATCTCATGTGATGTTAAGATGATAAATTGATTTAATTTTTAGTTATAATTTCTCCTGCAGTTCACTATTACCACATGCTGGTAGTGTTGTAACGCTCATAACTGAGTACTTCAAAGGAGCAAAGCTGCCTGCAGTAAGAAGAAAACTCTACACTATTGTGCGATTATTGATGAGCTCGATGGGTGTTGGTAGGTCATTCACACTTTTATAAAAAATATACTTAACACACCACTTGCATTAGTAGTCGAAACAAAACACTGATGCATTTCTTCTGTAAGTTAGTGGATAAATAGTGTTGATGTAATGGACCTTGTAGTTCGATGAGCCAGTGGCCCAAAGCATGTATAATAGGGATACATGCGTAGAGACTACTTAAAATAATCACGATGTTACTTGAGTTCCCCAATCACAATTCTATCTGTCCATTTTGTTCACTTATTCTCTACAATAGCCCTATGGAACAAAATTTTAGTTGATTAGAACTTAGGGATTCTGCTACTGTTTATTTAAAAACAATCAAATATAAATTGATAGCCACGTATAATATCAAATTAAAGTGAATAGTATATTACTAAATTGCCAACATAACCACCGAATATTAAATAATAGAGTTGATTATGGCACTATGGGTCACCCTGTCTTAGTTCGGAAGTTCAAACTATCATCACTTTTACCATCATACTCCCCCTGTTGCAAAATGTTCTATCCAAGAGTCCCATCTAATATTTCTTAGTTAAGTATGTTGTTAAAAGTTCACTCCATTTGGTTTTTTTCCCTAAGCAATCTCATGGATTGTTTCATGAAGAACTGTAATTCCTTCCATGGTACAATGTCCAAGCTTAAAAGTTGTTTGCGTGGATCTTATAAAAATTTTGCACTCCAGCAATTCTCATTGTGGTCACTTCAGTAAAGTTTTTCTCTAAACTCACATTTAGTAGACAAATGGTTCTATATTGTTGTATAGTTGTCATCTCTTTGCTTTTTTGTAACAACATAGTAGTACCAAAGATGGCAGTAAAGGGGAAGTGTGCCTTTGCGAATCATATACTATGGCCATCAAATCAGTCCCTCTGATCTAGAAAACTTGGTAAAACTCTAGCTGGAAAACCATATTGTCCTGGGGCCTTATCATATTCCATCCGAAATATCGCCTCCATTCTCCACAATCCACATCTGATATTTGAGGAATCTCCCTGCCTCCTTGGGCCTCAAATATTTGAAAATGATAACTAATGTCTGATCCAAATAACCTCTAATCATCTTTAGTATGCACCTTATCCTCTCGAACTCAAAACACTTGTTTTGTAACTCTTACCATTAGCTACTGTTGATGTCATTTCTGGATCTCTTTGGGGGCCTGTCTGTACAATTGTGAATAGACAGAGCACCATTGAAAATCATTTCGGGGGTCTTAGGAAATAATGAGCTGTTGAGTTTTTTGGGGGGAAAAGGATATCAAACCAACTGTAGAGAACTCCATAAGTGTTCTCAATCTGAGTTGCCAACCAATAATATGTTTTCATTTAACTTTTCTTATTAAAAGTACTAGTTTGGCATATTTGAAGTTGGGTTATCGAAATTAGCCAACTTGTGAGTTAATCGTACAAGTGTTCAGAAATGATAGTCCTGAATGGAAATTGATATGTTTCGCGTGCTGTTTTTTGTCATCGATTCTATTGTTTAATTACTTTGTTATAATAAATATCACATCTTTAATTTCTTCGCAGAGTTGCATAGCCCCCTTTCACATTCAATAGTGAATTGTCGCTTACACGTGTTGTAGGAAATTTCTATACATGTTACCACAAATTATCAGGTTCTGGTATGCACAGATATTTCTTACTGACACGACACTGGTAATGTACTTGTCACATTTCAAATTGTGTTTGTTTTTGAAAAGTTAAAAAAGTTGCCAATATTTCCTATTACACAGTGATAGATATCCAATATTGCTTGGCACAATGAAGAAGGGAGAATACTGTAGTTTAAAAACTGATCGAGATATTGACATGTCCACTCTTCCAGTTCCGATGCCCGATCGGGCTAACGAGGTTAATGACATTATTCTACGCCACTCTTGTCCTCTCACAGCAGTAAAGCTCCCAAGCACTATCCCTTGAGTTCGACTCCATGTAAAATAATGTTATGTTAATCTAAAACTGCTGCATAAGTGAGCATATGCCAGGTGTTCGCTTCTGCTGGAAAGGATATATAGAGGGTTTGTACATGAAACAGGTCAGCTGAATTTTGCTTAGACAACAACGTTCGTACAAACCAGACAAGCTGGCATTCTCTTTTTCTTTATCAAATAGACAGTCAGGCTCTATATTTAGAACTGTATAGAATCTATTTGTATATTTATGTTACTGACACTAAGTCACTTTATGCCTGCTTGGAGCCTTGGAGCAAAATAAATTTTCATGCCATTAGCAGATGATCTACGAAGTTTTATGCTTGGAAAGGGGGTTCCGGGAGAAAACCTTTACTCTATGTACTTGCTGTAACTGTTATTTTTTTAGTAGTTAACATGGACGTATCAAATGTTAAACCACCTGTTGAGTCTGAGCCAAACAACTGTGGTTTTGTAGTCCAGGATGCTGCATTCACTGGATATGTCTCAGATGATTTCATAATATTTCACTTGTAATGCACCTTTCTGTTAAAGCTCTTAAATTTCTTGCCACTAATTGACCAGGGATGGGTATGCACTTGCTTCAGGTGGTAGTTAGCAACATTTCTGCTGATCTGGATGATAATTCTGGCAACAGCCTATTCGTTATGAGTTCAGCTCCAATAGGAGGAATAAATCAGTCTTCATTAGAAAGATCTTCCAGCAACAATCAGGCATTGCATGGGAAAAGCTCAATTGCTGGGAGCCCTGAACCTACATGCATTAGAAAATCAATGTCTTCACTGTGTGTCAAAATAGCAGCACTGGAAACATTTGAAGTACTTCTGACTCTGGTATGTGTATAACTGTATATTTACGCATTCTTTTGCTTAAGCAATCACTTCTCATGCTTAAGCGAAATAGATTTCTTTTACTAATACATTGTAGTTAAACAAGAGTGCATAACTGTCTAATTCACCTATTTGGCTCCTCAACTAGATTATTGTAACCAAATCATAACGTCAGCTTTCTAAATGCCTTAAATTTTTTTTCCTAGTCCACATTAAATACATTTTTCCTATTGTAACTATGCTTAGTGCTTATCTGGTAGTGCAAATAAGGTCAGATGAGCGAGGGCTCCCTCATGTTTAGGCCTGCTTGGTTGGGATCAAATGGGTTCAATGAGCTGATTTTTAGTTTGGGTTTTGCTCAGTTTGAGTGCACAGGTGAAATGGATAGGTGCGGATTGGTTTCAATTAGGTATTTTCGAGTTCAGAATGATTGTAAATGGACTAAGCACTTTGAGGTGGTGAATGCCATCTTCGCTCCAGATTCTAGAACACGCACAACCTTGGTAAGCTTTTTCTCTTTGATAAAGTTTGTAGGCTGCCTTTGAATTTCACCTTCAAGTCCATTCTTCTCATCTCAGCCATCTCTTCCTTCGAGCGCCGACAGTATATACGTAGACTTAGTCCCTCCTCGAAGATGTAAGTATATTTTCACTAGTCACTAGTCCCAAGGCTAGTTGACACCCCTCACTCCGCGTTGCTCCTCAAAGCCGTAAGCCACGTAAGTATATATGTAGACTTAATTTTTCCTTGTTCTCGGGAAGTCTTCTTTTGCTGAGAGCTTTCTCTTGTCTTTGTAGGACTTCCCCTGTTGCTTCTGACCAGTCTGTTAGTCGGATGCCTGCAGTCGGGCTAGCCATTGCTCCGGCCTTCCATTCCTCAGCCCCCACGATCACAGATGCATCAGTGCTAATCACCGGTGTCGCCTGGTCATTGGTGTTGCTGGCAGCAGTTCGAGAATAAGCATCTCGGAGCCAGAGCTGGATGAGGCCAAGAAATACAGCGCTGAACTCCAAAGCAATAATGAGGCAATCAAGACCTTTCTTCTCGGTAAAGGAAGAAGGTGTGGCAAATGGAGGAGATCCAAGCTGTAGCCTCCTGTTGTGGTTGCTAGGGAACTTCAAGAGAAATTTGACAATAAGCCATCCAATCCGCATGCCTTCTCTAATACACCACTAGGAGTGCTAATTTTTTTATTTCATACCACTTTCTTTCTCATCATTTTCTCTTTTTCTTTCTCTTTTTATGTTTTATCCTCCTTTTTTGGGACTGTTTTACCCCTGGCCCCACTTGTCAGGTAAAACAGAGAGAGGGAGGGTTTTACCTGTTGCTCTGCGGTTAGGAGCCAGGGTGCTTGCTGCCCTTGCCTCTTCTCGCCAGAGAAAGAGGTCAGGAGCCAGGACCAAAAATCTTATCCTTAGCCATGAACACAGTATGGTTTCCTAAAGTGACATTGTACTTGGTTTCTAAGTTCCCCCATCAACTTCTTTGCACCCATATTTGGATCCTTTTTTAGAAAAGGAATTGCCTTCTCTGCCACCCACTAACTTGCCATTTTGGTCTTTATTCTCCCAGTTGATGCACAAGTATGGGCAAATTTGTTCAAGGTAACCCGCAACATACGCAAAAAAAAAGGTAACAGCCATGAGACAACTCATACAGTCAAACCAATATTTGAAATATGAGACATTGTTTAGTTAGTTATTAGTACCCTCATGGATTTTTCATTTAGGCATCAGCCTGGCCGCGATAGCCCATGGGCATTCGTTAGCTGTGCAAAAGCCCCTAAACTCTTTTATCAGACTTCTCTATCCCAAGCTGAAATTGTCCCTTTATAGCGTGTTGCCTCACAGCTAACCTAAATTCATTCATGCTTACATATGAGCTTTCAACTTCCATAGGAGGATCATCCCTGTCATAGAAAATTTCAGATTCTCCAGGTATTACACATTAACAGCAATCTTTACCTTGTTAAGGTTCAAATTCCCTTTAGTATGAGCTGGACCTGGTGTAGGAACATAATTCCTTTGCCTCTCAGCTTCAATTCTAGCTTGCTCAGCTCTCTCATCCTCAGTTCTAAGTCCAACAAATGTATACATTTCATTTTCCTCCAAGTTGATGTTGTGGAATTGGTTCTATCTCGAATGCATCCCAATCAATAGCAAGCTGAGGAACTTGGTTATGTAGAATTGGAGCTATCTCTAGACTATCCCAATCAATACAACTGCTACATTCTTGAGCATCACCTTGTCTGCCTATCACAACTTCACCCATTGCTACCTCATTGACCTATAAAACTATCGAGTTAGTTATCAACTGAATAGGCTTATCCTCCACATCAACAAATAAAATCAACTTTCTATCACTCTTCATAACAAATAATGCATGGACTACATTCATATTATCCTTAAACGGTGTTTCCTCGCCGGTGCTCATGTCATAGCCACTGATCAGAACATGTTGGCATTTTACCCTTGCTGCAAGGTCCTTTTCCAAGCTCTCCAATGTGCACTGATGATAGTCCACAACCCATTCAAGCCATTTACGCGCCACTTCAACACAAGTACCATCATCAAGTTTAGTTGTAAACTGACCGAACTGAACGTGCACGCTAAACTCCACATCATGGTCAGTCCTATCGCGTACGAACAAGAAAAATGAGAGTAAAAAAATCATTAGTTTACCCGCTAACCAATTACGTCCTAGTTCTGCTCCTCAGCCCGTTAGTGCAAATAATGGAGATGTCGAGGGTTATAGCATTACCTAGAAGGGAGTTCACTTGGAATCGAGGAGCATGCCGCTTGCGCCATGATCTCCTCTGCAGCAGAACCGTCACCCCCTTTCCCCCTCTCCCTTCAAACCCTAGGGACCGGAGGCTGGCTGGCAGTGAGGCAAGGAGGTTGGCCGGTGGCAGCGGGTTGCAGGGTGATGGGCAAGGAGGCTGGTAGCGGTGCCGGCGACGGGTCCTAGTGGCGGCGCCCGGCGATGGGTCCTAGTGGCGGCGTCCAGCGACGGGACCTGGAGACGGCGCCGGCGCAAAATGGGAGCACAACAAGTGTCGCCTCCCCTTCCCGATCCCCTTCTGCGGTAAAACCTCTCTCTCTCTCTCTCTCTCTCTCTTACCTGATAGGTGGGGCCAGGGGTAAAACAGTTTGAAAAAGGAGGATAAAACAGAAAATGAGAGAAAATGAGAAAATGATGAGAAAGAGAGAAAGTGGTATGAAATAAAAAAAAATTAGCACTCCTAATGGTGCGTTAGAAAAGGCATGCGGATTGGATGGCAAGTTTGCAAAGGTATGCGTATTTAGTGGCTTATTATCAAATTTCTCGGAACATTCAAAGAGGTCATGAAGTCTTCAAAGTGGACATTCCTGCATCAGCGTCTACTGATCTGCTGTAGGTAGTGAGTTCCCACGGTGACTTGGTCGCCAACATTGTCATGCTTCCGGACACCCTCAGCAGGTGTTCGACCATGGTGATGAGGCCACATATGCTCTCGCCTGCGTCGTCTATTGACTCATTGCAATTGACCTCACTATGGACTTAGAGGGGATTCAAGTGGAGATGTGGGGGGTTGAGGAGGAAATGATCTAGCGGTGTTGACCAGCATGTGATGCGGCTCTCTGAAACATTATTTCTAGTCCATAACTTCTATTTGTTGGTTTTGGGTGGTTGTGGTCAGTGATTGCAATTTCAGTAATTTTGGACCCCCTCCCCTCTTGGGCAAGTGATTATCTCGGCCGAATTTTTCTGTTTTTCTCAAACTTATGCAAATTTGGTCATAATTTAGTCATTCAGTAAATTTATGTTAAAATTTCAAAAAAAAAATCGGTCCAAAAAAACCAAATTTTCAGGAATTTCGATAGAACCGAAATGGCTGAAATTTCGGCCTAAATCGAACTTGAAAACCATGGTTGCGGTGGTGTTTTGTTTGCGCTTGTACGTATTGTAACTTCCTTTAGTGTATATTTTCTTATGTAAAGTTGCCCTTTGTATATCCATCCTTTTGTCTTCATTTGCAAGACAAGTTCTTTTGTTCATATCTATTTCATGTGCAATTCTAGCATTTTGTTTTTTGAACGGTGACTATTTGAACTGGTATTACTATTTTACTTTCACGGTGGCATTCCTTATAAGAACGGTTTAACTGTTGGTCATTAATACAAACAGAATACTGTAGAGTACCATTATCTTCTTAATCCACTCATCATTTCGTATCTCTACTCAATTGGCTAGGTTGCCTCCAAGGTGTTATTTATTGTGCCACTCTTACTTTTAGGATGTATAGACATGTGTCCCAAAAAGACTTCGTTTGTCCAGATTCATAGCTAGAAATGAAGTCTTTTTGGGATGGGGGACTAGTAGTAGATAATCTTGCGTATATTCTGTTGAAATTGGCTATTGACTCTCAACATGAGCAGGGTGGTTCATTCAGAGCATGCTACTGGAGGACACAAATAGACCTGCTTCTTATTAATGTTGCAAGAGAGTCTTTCTGTACTATGGGGATGTATGAACTAAGACCACTATTGGCAGGAGATCCAACTTTTTCAGACTTCCAGTTAGCCTTGTTAAAATCTCTATTGGCATCCTTTCTTTCTTCTCCTGACAATTGTCCTTATTTAGAACGAGGTCTTGAGCTCTTCAACAAAGGTAATACCTTCTTCCAGGTTCTGAGCCAATCTGTATTTGCTGTATTTATCATCTATTTCCACATGCATTCCAGTTTTGCTAATTCATTGGTAAAACGTAGAGTTAACGATATACAGAAGAAACCCACTAGGACACATACGCATGAAATTTGTTAAGCTAGCTAAATAAATCATGCATTTCATATAGCAGTTCATTTACTTAATTACATCCATGTAATTCTCAAAACGTGTTAATTTTGTTTGTTGTAGTATTTATCTTTTCTTGTCATAACAGGGAGGCTAGAGACTGGTACCGAGCTTGCAAAATTTTGTTCACATGCTTTGCTGGCTTTGGATGTCCTTGTACACCCTCGTGAACATTGTCTACAATATGATCCAAAGATTCCTCTCAGAAGAGCAGCTCATGGTGATCAAGGATCCCTGTCGATTGCTTCAGACAATGAAGTATTAGATTCCGGGAGATGTAAGAACCTCCACTCTGCATGTAAAAACCAAGCTACCGAGAATTCAGGAGATGAAGTCAATGAATGGCTATTCTCTACTGACGATGCTCCAATTGATGCTTTTGTGGAAGACAATACTGCGGAGAACCATGAAGTGAAGGAGATGTCCAGAGATCATTTGGTGCAGAAGGACACTGTCATCGGAGAACATCAAGAAATTGTTTTAAATAAGTTTCATGGGGAATTGCTGGTTCCAACGTCCAGTAGAATTGATGCCGATGTGGCTATTGCAGGAACAAAAGGAGGAACATACAACAGCCCTGCTGATTACATGGTGGGTTATCCTACTCACTTTTTCAATGTTGATTCAGCTCGCATCAGCATAACACCACCTGATACTCAGGATCTTGGGGGTGCTACATTTTCAAACAATAAAGACGACCAGCATGGAAGGACCATTTCAGGTGCCGCTTCAAGTAGCCAGAATGTGGCAAGGCACACCGCACCGATTTGTGATGCTTCAGGCGTGTCTGGTACTGAGTGGGACTCACTTGACCCATTCCTGGATATAGGTAATTTTGGCACTGAGACAACTTTTTCCTTGGACATGGCTAATCTTGATCCAGGCTCCAATTAGGAGGTGTCAGGTGTCATAAAGTTCTGCCTTCCTAGATTTAATTAGATAAAGATCCAGATTTCTAACATATAATAATGATATGGCTCAACATTGTAATAATGGAAGTTGCATTTGAGATGGTGCGCGTTGGGTGAATATGATGCGTGTAAGAGATGCCAATTTACCAACATCACTACAGGAAGAACCAATTGATGAGGACATATTCTATGTGTGTTAGCCTGTTAGGTGTTGGTAATGTAGGAAACTCTTTACCTTGCTCGATAGTAACATCTATCCCCTAAATAATTAGATAGGTTATTAGCCTAGAGATGAGCTATTATTAGGTACTCCCACTGTCCCATTTTAAACGTCAGCCAATGATTTTCCATGTCCAACTTTAATAGTTCGTTTTATATAAAAAAATTATGATTAATATTTTTATTGTTATTAGATGATAAAAAATGACTAGCACTTTAAGCGTGGCTTATGTTTTTTTAATTTTTTTAAAAAAATTTAAATAAGACGGACAATTAAATTTGGATATGGAAACTCATGGTTACATTTAAAATAGGACGGAGGGGTATCATTTGTAAAGTATCGGTTTAGGAGACATGGTTTATTACAAAGCCCAGGTCGCCCGTTCTGAGATGATTTTTTGCTCTCTTTCTTGACAATAACAATACGGGCTCCTTTGGAACAAAAGCTTTTCTTTTTTAAAAGAATTTTGTAGGATGTGGAGATTTTCCGATATGCTCCTTCGGAACAAATGAATGCTATATAGACGAAGAGCTACTATATCTAGTAGGTTGATGGGCTTTTTAGGCAAAAAAGAGTTTTTAATTTTAATTATTATGGGGATAAAAAAAGGAAAAAAGGAAACGGAGGTCGGATGGATAGCACGTACGTTGCGCGCGGAGGGATCCTAATTACTTACGGAGGGAGATTATATTCTTGTGAGATAAATTTAATGATTAAAATTAATGGGTCCACCAATTTAAGTGAAAATCAATGCTCGTATTTATCTATTTTATTAGTCATGTGACGACTCGAAAGCGTTTTTAGAAATATATGTGAATATCGATGGTCAGATTTATCTATTTTATTAGAGTGACATGTTGTGACTCGAAAGCGTTTATACGATACCACATGGTAGCTTAGGAGCATTTTTAGAAAGTTTAATGGAATTTTAGTATATAATTTTTTTAGATTTCCTCTAATTTAAAAGTGTTATATAGATGTTTAGAATTTTTTTTAGATTTCCTCTTATTTAAGAGTGTTATATAGATGTTTAGAAATATTTACATCATGTTTAATAGAGTGTTTATTAGGAGAGGATAGAGGAAGAGCTAGCAATATATCTAGTAGGTTGATGGGCTTTTTAGGCCCAAAAAATGTTTTTAATTTTAATTATTATGGGGATAAAAAAGAAGAAAGGAAATGGATGTCGGATTGCATAGTACGTATGTTGCGCGAGGAGGGATCGTTTGTACCTGCAGAGGGAGATTGTTTTCATGTAAAGATAAATCAAACGATCAAAATTAATGGGTTCACTAATTTAAATGAAAATTGATTGTCAGGTTTATCTATTTTATTAGAGTGACATGTGGCAACTCGAGAGCGTTTATAAGATGCCACATGGAATCTTAGGAGTATTTTTTGGAAGTTTAATGGACTTTTAGTATATAATTTCTTAGATTTCCTCTAATTTAAGAGTGTTATATAGATGTTTAGAAATATTTAGATAATGTTTAATAGACTATTTATTAGGAGAGGATAGAGGAAAAGCTAGCTATATCTAATAGGTTGATGGGCTTTTTAGGCCCAAAAAGGTTTTTAATTTTAATTATTATGGGGATAAAAAAAAGGAACAAATGAAACAGAGGTCGGATGCATAGCACATATGTTGCGCGTGGAGGGATCGTACTTACCTACGGAGGGATATTGTTTTCATGTAAAGATAAATCTAACGATCAAAATTAATGGGTCCACTAATTTAAATAAAAATTAATTATCAGATTTGTCTATTTTATTATAGTGACATGTGGCGACTCGAGAGCGTTTATCGGGCATGTCAGTTTAGGAGCGGTTTTAGGAAGTTTGACGGTCTTTTAGTATATAATAGATAATAGATGTGGCGACTCGAGAGCGTTTACAGAATGGCACATGTTAGTTTAGGAGCATTTTTAGGAAGTTTAATGGACTTTTAGTATATAACTAGAAAGTTAGCCCACGCGAATGTGCGGGCATGCATTGTAAGGTTCATTTAAGACAATTATAGAAGCAGAATATTAATTGGATAACATTTGCATGCCATGCTTCAAATGTATTATTTATTCATTAATTTTCTTTTTGGCATTGCTTAAATAATTTTTTTTAACCTATCAGAGTTGTTCCAATTATCTAAGGCAATTATTATGAAATGGTTATTGCAATAGTAGCTTCAATTTAAGTGTGAAGTAAGAAGCAAAATTTCTCCAATTGGTTAAATTTACTCCCAATTGGTATTTTTTGTATTTTCTATTTATTCTATATAAATCTTATTTTAAGTATAAAATTTGTGATATGATAAATAGTAACAGAGCATTACACTTTTTTTTCAACTTCCATGGAAATTTCAATGACATTTTATATAAGTTGGTAAGGCCAATATATATTCTCATTGGTCAATAATTGGTGGATTGGATAGGACATGAGACTACACTATGTACATGGGTTTGTAGAGTTCAACATGATTATGTGGTGTGACACACAATCTATTTATGAACACTATTTGTGTGGTGTGTGAGGCTTCACGCAACCTAGCGTGAACACAATCGAACAACTAAAATTATATAATTAGCATGCATCATTATTTTTAGAATGTGGTATATTGTGATTGTTTAGATGATTTAAATACTTTTCCATAAAAAAAATTAATTTAATATTAGGAATTTTTACTTGAGATCGACTACTATGTTATTTTAATTTTTATTTAGTTAGCCTGTACCTGGCATGTATTAAGTATATTTATATTATTATATAAAGCCTATAATACCTATCCAGTTGCTAATCGTATCAAAGACCATAGAAAATCCCTGTGTTCCCAAGACCAAATGAATTATTTCATTTTTTTTCATTTCTAGCATGAAAATTATTTGGTTGCTATACGATCATATCTAATTCCTAGTAAATATGTTCCATGCCTAAAAAATACGCTCGTTGTGCCTTGTCCCATCTAATATTGATACATTATTCTTAGCTTGTCAAGACTGGCTTACTAACTCTCTCCGTACTTCTCTTTCTCTCCCATGCACTTGTTTGCGCAAGAAAATGTCTGGGTTCCAAAGTCTGAATAAATTTATTATAATTTGTGTGTATAATATATGACAATTGTTTTTAATGGTTCATGCACAAAGAAATAAATGGAATTGTGTTCATACCTGAAAGATGTAGAAAAAATCTACATATGATATATGAGGGCGCAACATGTGTTGTTGAATTATTTTGTAGCTTTTTATTGCAATTCAGACGACATGTAAAAAGGCAAGTGTTGTCTATCGATAAAAGTATTCTTTCATACTTGAATTTATAAATATATATTTTTTATTCTACTAATTTAGTTTAGCTATGCATATTTATAGAATGATCTATGTAATGATGTAATATTTGTTGATATTCTTTATCATATTTCTTTGTTATTTGGATGGCATATATAATACATGCATTGACTATATATATTTCATATATAGAAAAACATAGGTATATGAATCTTAATTTGTTTGGTTAATTATAAATAGAGAAATAGTTATATTAGAAATCATACGTGTAGCACGTAGTTTAAAAATTATCATCATTTGAAAATTACAATTACAAATTATTTCTATTTTAGTTGGATAACCAAATAATAGGAATGGGGGAAAAGAATAAATAGTGCCAGTTCAAGCAAGAGGAAGGAGCAAACAGGGATATACATGAGGGGAAGGGGAGGGGGAGGTGAAGTAGATGGAAATGTTTGGAAATGAATGTGGTGTTCCGTAATTATTAACTCTATTTTGTGAGAAAAGGCATAAAAAGGTATAATACAGTTTGTGATTTTTTAATTAAAATATTGTTAATACGTGATGTAGTATTTTTTTTCTTTTATTATAGAGAGCATGGATGTTCTATGTTTTATTGATCGTTGTTTTTCTCGATGGTAGGTGCATATGTACGTAGGTACATGTTCTTTAATTCTTTTTTCCATCGATACTGTGCTCAGTTTTGTTATTTTTTCTGGGGTATGTACGTACATATTTTATTTTCCTTTTTTTCCCCATGAATACGTGTATATATTTACGTACGTGCATATTATTTTTTTTCTTGCTTTTTTCTCTTGGGGCCGCCAGCGGAGAAGTGAAGGATCATGTACCATATAGGCCAATAGGGAAAAGGAGAGAGATTGCTTATGGGGGTTTTATTTTTTTTCTAAAAAGAAATTTAATAGTTAAAAATAGTGGGTCCACCGATTTATGAGAGTGCCATGTGGTAGCTTAGGAGCTTTTATAGGATACCATATGGTGGTTTAGAAGCGTTTATATAAAGTTTAATGGATTTTTAGTATATAATAGATAGATAGATGGCCCAATTCAGAGTAATTTTAGAGAAAATTTGTGGAGTGATTGAGAAGCGGTCTTTCCACCATAATTGCCACCTGCCGGATCCAGCGTGTTAGCTGTGGTCTGTGGAAGGCTAGAAGCTGACACCCATGCTTTTGATCCATCCAAGTACCCTATTAGTATGTTCTAATTTTTCCCTAAAGTATTTGCTCAATTATACAATTATACGGTTGTATTCATTTTGATTAATTTGAAAGAGGCCATAGGATTATATGTTAAAGAAAAAAAATCAACCGTTCAAATTTAATGATCCGTGTGTGAGAAGCCAATATTTATACGACTCGTTGCACATTCAATATTTTCGATATTTTGGTAATTGGGTTTAATGTTTAATGTAGTGGTTATTGATTTAAGGGCGATATTTTTTTAATGTGTAATTAGTTGATACATTTAAAAGTAATAAAATAATTTACATAGAAGTGGTGAAACAACGCCTAAATTTTCAGAAATCGAACGCACAATTTGCAGTCTTCCCCAAATCCATTTGGATCATTTTAGTACGAAGTAGAAAGTTAGGTCATTAGTTGAACAGATACAGTGATATGTGTATATATTTGACAGTGATGATTAAACAAAAACGGAAAAGCAACCACGCCACGCTAGTCCACACGAAAGAAGGGGAAAAAAATGAAAAAGAAAGGGCAGAAAGTCCCTCAGATTGATTAGTAGTGCATCGTCTCTATCCGTCGCGGATTGCCCACCAAGAATTCAAGAAAGGCAAGAGCAGAGGTGAGCAGCGATCCTCCAATGGCGGCTGCAAGGAGAGTGGTCTTGTTCCCCAGCCTCGGCGTGGGCCATCTCGCCCCCATGCTGGAGCTCGCCGCGGTTTGCATCCGCCACGGCCTCGCCGTCACGGTCGCCGTCCCTGACCCGGCCACCACCGCCCCCGCCTTCTCCGCCGCGCTCCGCAAGTACGCATCCCGCCTCCCCTCCCTCTCCGTCCATCCACTCCCTCCTCCTCCTCATCCTCCTGCCTCCTCCGGCGCCGATGCCGCCGCTCACCCGCTCCTCCGTATGCTCGCCGTCCTCCGCGCCCACGCGCCCGCCCTCGGGGACCTGCTGCGTGGCCCCCATGCCGCTCGGGCGCTCGTGGCCGACATGTTCTCCGTCTACGCCCTCGACGTCGCCGCCGAGCTCGGCGTCCCCGGGTACCTCCTCTTCTGCACCGGCGCCACCAACCTCGCCGTTTTCCTCCGTTTGCCACGGTTTTGCGCCGGGAGCAGCGGAAGCTTGAGGGAGCTCGGCGACGCGCCCGTGTCGTTTCCCGGCGTGCGCCCGCTGCCGGCGTCGCACTTGCCCGAGGAGGTGCTCGACCGTGGGACGGACATAAGCGCGGCCATGCTGGACGCGTTCGACCGGATGGCGGACGCGCGCGGCATTCTGGTGAACACCTTCGACGCGCTGGAGGGTCCCGGGGTGGCGGCGCTGAGGGACGGCCGCTGCCTCTCCAACCGCGCCACGCCGCCGGTCTACTGCGTCGGGCCATTGATCACCGACGGCGGCGCGGAGGAGGAGAGGCACCCGTGCCTCGCTTGGCTGGACGCGCAGCCGGAGCGCAGCGTCGTGTTCCTCTGCTTCGGGAGCCGCGGCGCGCTCTCGCCGGAGCAGGTCAGCGAGATGGCCACGGGCCTCGAGAGGTCCGAGCAGAGATTCTTGTGGGCGCTGCGCGCGCCCGCGGGCACGAAGCCGGACGCCGCGATGTCTCTTCTTCCTGACGGATTCTTGGCGCGGACAGCCGACAGAGGCGTCGTGGTGACCGCGTCCTGGGTGCCGCAGGTGGCGGTGCTGCAGCACGCATCCACGGGCGCATTCGTGACGCACTGTGGATGGAACTCGACGCTGGAGGCTGTCGCAGCCGGCGTTCCAATGGTGTGCTGGCCGCTCGACGCGGAGCAGTGGATGAACAAGGTGTTCATCGTGGAGGAGATGAAGATTGGCATCGAGGTCAGAGGGTATAAACCCGGGGCACTTGTCCAGGCCGACATCGTCGATGCCATCTTGAGGCGGATCATGGAATCGGATGCGCAGCAGGGAGTCCTGGAGCGGGTCATGGCGATGAAGGAGAGCGCAGCGGCAGCATGGAAGGAAGGGGGATCATCGTGCACTGCATTCGCTGAATTTCTCAAGGACATGGAGGAGGGGAATGTTGCCATGGCGCATTCCAATCAGGTTGAAACTTGAATTTCTTCCTGAGCATGGCTCTTGACCTTTGCATTTGTCTTCCATCAATTAGGATCCATAGAAAATTGTCCAAACCCATCTGCAAGCACCACAGTTGGTCAAATGCTTGTTTATGATAAGCTTAAGTTCAAATGAAATTCACTGACCCCAAATATGTGATGACAGGTCTCTTACTTGTTAGAAATTCAAGCTTTTCAATTTCGTAGTTCGTAGTGGTCTGGTCAATTATACATGGTGCTTCATTGCTGTTGAACAGTTGGGGAGGCCTCCAAGATAATTTCCCATTAAGGCCTTGTTCTTCGGTTAATCCCCATAATATGGGTATAATATGTACATAAGAGCAAGGATAATGGTGAGCTATAAGCAAGCTAAATGCTTATGTGGAAGAGAGAGATAAATAAAAGTGGAGAGTGTTGGCTCTCATGCAAGAGCTAGCTACACACAAGCTCTAAGAAATATGCATTAAATTCGTAGAGAGATAAAGAGAGAGGATGAAAAAAATAAAGCTAACCTTATAGCTAACCTATTATATATGTTAGCTTTAACATTGGCTTATAGTAAGTAGTGGGCTGTACTACTAAACTTGCTCTAAGAAAACATAAATTTATGGAACCTTGTGGAGGACAGGGAAACTTGTTAAACTCCAAGAACTAAAATGGGACTTATGATCCTATTGCATCCGAAACAAATGCAGGACGATTTTTCTCCTTGAATAAATGCCACCGGTCTTGTGAAGACGTTTCAATCAGATTCTACCTTGAGGCTCTCCTTGTGCATGCATTTATCTATAGAAAACTATGTTGTTCAGCAGTATGTTTCCACCTATCTGAATTCAGAGTTGATCATGGACTCATGGTTGTAGACTTGTAGTAGGTAACTGAAGGTATGACAAGCTTTTAGTTCAGCTGAATTTATCTGACACCCAAATATATGATCACAGGTCTTTTCCTGCTAGAAATATATGATCAGAGGTCTCTTCCTGCTAGAAATATATGATAGGAGGTCTCTTCCAGCTAGAAACTGAACCTTTTAAATTTTGTCCTTACAATAAACTGAACCAAAGCAACATTGGTCCGCTAGTCCGGTTTGATAGTTGTCAACAGTAAAGTGGTCTAGTGATAAGTACGGAGTACATTCCTTAGGTGCGTTCTAATGTAAGGATTAGAAACTTCTCTCATGTAAAACGGAGCGACTCATTAGTGTATGATTATTTAAGTATTAGCTGAAAAACTTAAAAAATGGATTGATATGAATTTCTAAAGCAATTTTTCTATAGAATTTTATTGAAAAAAACACATCTAATAGTTTAGAAAGCATGCACACGAAAAACGAGAAGTTAGAAGTTGGGAAATTGCCCTATCGCGCGGAAAACGGGGAGGTAGTGTGCAATTGGTATAATATGTGTGGCTCAATATATTCTCTTTTTTTTTTGTTTATAGGACTTACCAAGCAAATATAGGAGTCGTATTCTGGTTTTATGAAAGCTGAAAAGATGACACAATACTTTGAAAAAATGTGACTATTTAACCGCTTGCAAATATGTGATGGTAAAAACAAGTCTAGTTATACATAGTGGCGGAGCCAGGATAAAATTATAGTAGGGGCTAAACCAAAAGTGGCCAATAAAAGTTGAGATATGTCTCATATAAATTGGCTATATGTCTAATACAAAGTATAAATATATAGAGTTACCGAAAAATAAACATTATCCATATCAAAGCAATATTGAAATGTCCAATAGATGATGCATGATGTGCGACACTAGTACACCCTATCGCCAATTATTCTTCATCAGGGGTAGTCTATAAAAAAGAAATGTCAAATTAATGAATAATGACAATTGACAAACAATAGCTTCAAATAATTATTTTTAGGTAGTAACATCCGACGCGCTTTCATATCTTCAAACCTTTGGATGATTTTTTCATTACTAATACTTCTAAAAATTTGCTTCTCAGTATAGCATATCATCAAGTCATTTAGCCATTCATCCCCCATTTTGTTTCTCAAATTTGTCTTTATAAGAGACATGGTTGAAAAAACCCTCTCAACTGAAGTCGTTGCCACCGGAAGTATCAATACTAACTCAATGAGCCTATACACCAATGGATAAGTTTTGTTCTTTCCTGTTTGAACCATTAATTCTGCCACCTTTGCAAGATCTTTACATCCAACAAATTCTTTAGCTCTCCTAATATTGGTAATAAAATTTGCAAGTTGAGGCCGTAGAAGCATAAGATCACCAACCAAAAAATCTTGACTATAAATTTCAGCAAGCCTCACAAGCTTATCCACATCAAAATTAGATAAGAAAATCCATGGATTAAAGGCTGACATGCATACTTAGTAACTTTGAACTAACTTCACTAAACTGACGATTCATTTCTGCCAAAATTGCATCTATGGCTGCAAGAAAGATCTCAACATGGTAATAATGCTTATTTGTTACCTTGTGCTTTCGACATAGAGATGTCCCACTTTCATTTACCTCCTTGTCCATTTTGGGAACTTCAATCTCATGTTTAACACAAAATGATGCTACTCTATTCATCAAAGGCTCCCATCCATTCTCCCTTGTGTAACATAAATGATTAAATTCATTGCCTCAACAATGTATTGATCCTTCCTTTGCAAAGCACGTGACATGTCATCTGTTATACTCAAGATGTCTATCATCAAATGCATTATGAACACAAAATCAAACCATTGCATTTTACCCATCAAACCAAATGCTCCACCAATAAATGTTGGTTTAGTAGAATCTTTCTTAACATTCTCAAGCACATATATGTGTCGACGTTTGATGTCGCGATTCCAGTATTTGCATAGTATGGGGATCGTTGGTACCAGGGTATATGCGAGATTGTAATAAAAGAGATGGGGACGAAGATTTTTATATAGGTTCGGGCCCCTGAATTGTCAGGTAATGACCCTACTCCTGTTGGCCGAAGCCGGTCGTTGCTCTTATTCATCATAATCACACCAATACAATATTTGGGGTAGCCTATCTATCTGTTGTCGACTTGGCGGTCTGAAGTGTTGACTCGTAGTCAACAACAGGGTAGCCTTCCTCCTCGAATCCGCATCCGGCGAGATCAAAGACAGCGCTTTTGTCTCTCCTGACAGTATCCGTAGACACCATAGGGGACTAGGCATGCTTATCTCTGAAGTCGATATCCGGCATCTTGTCTTAGCGTATGTTGGCTTGTATGTTGATCTTGTGTCTTGATCTATTGTTCCGTGTCCCCTCTCCTCCTAGGGGGCCTTGTATTTATACCCATAGGTGTCCCCTTGTCCAAGTAGAACTAGGGAAACCAATATGGATACAATCCGAGTAGTCCTTGTCGTTTCCATGTAGAACTATACTCATCTTTCCTTATGCGGAACTCCTCCTATATCCGAAGGTTGTTTCCGTATAAGACATGGTATGTGGTGGGTCCTGCCGAGATTTAGTCAACTACTATTAGGTATGTGGTATCCATAACCCTGACAATATGATAGCTTCCCACATTACCATAATGCGAAGCAAAGTTTTAAGATGTGATCCCCATCTAGTATCTCCAGGCCTAGCTAGGCTACATTCTTGGTTCAGCCCTCTTCCCGTGGTAATCTCACCATTCTCTACCTTTTCTAACAATACATCATGATGTTTTGCAAGCAAGGCATCCTTTCGCATGCAAGATGCACCCACAGTGTTGACTATTAAAGGCACATAGTTAAAAAAATCTATCGTGGCTGCAGTAGAAGATGAAACAGTAACAACCACTAACTGTAATTGATGGGCAAAACAATGGACAAAATAAGCAAAAGGGTTTTCATCCCTAATCAATTTCTGCACACCATTAAATTCCCCTCTCATATTAGAAGCTCCAACATAACCCTGCTCACGAATCCTAGAGATGATTAACTTATAACTAGAAAGCATACCAACCAAAGCTTCTTTTAATGCAACCGTTGTACATCTCTCAATGTGTTTAAGACCCAAAAATCTCTCCATCACTTTCCCTTCCATCATTCACAAATCTGCATGGCAAAAATTAATAGGGTTAGTACTTAAAAAGAAATTGAAATTTTACAATGAAAGCATCACAAAATGGCAAAAAATTAATAGTGTTACTACTAACCTCAAGATGACACCCATTTGCTCATTTATCGATACATCACAAGATTCATCAATAAGCACGGAGAAATTTCAATGTCCAATCTCATCCATAATCACGGCCGTCACTTCTTCTGCACAAGCTTTAGTAAGATCCTGTTGAATGTCATGTGATAACATTTGGCAATTTTTATTGCTCTTATGGGACCTTGTCTTTGTACCAATTAACCATCTCTCTAAATTTACCCTTATTGAGGGATGCATTGGTCTTATCTTGTCCACGGAAAGGATCACCTTGCTTAATGAGAAACCTTATAACATCTAAAGAAGATGTCAACCGAATCTTGTATCTAATGTCTTCCTCCTTGCTAACAATCTCAATTTTCCTAAATATACTTGTCCTTTGGTTCATAAAGTCTTTGCATTTTTTCCTAGTATCATTGTGAGTCTTACAATTACTATGTGTAGCAAGCCTATCTTTAGCTTTCTTCCAATTAACAAAACCTTCCTTAGCAAATACAGAACTTCCAAATTTTTAGGTTTTCCTAGCTAAAAGAAAAGATAACAATACAAGCAATAAGCTGCATCCTTTGAAACACTATACTCAAGCCAATCGAACTCATTGAACCAAGCTTTTTGAAAGGACCTCCATTCACCACTTTGCCACTTACGAGGAAATGTGCAAAAATCTGGTTGAGTTGGACCACTCAATGCATATATCCTTTTTACTTGATCTCTAATTTCAGGTTGATAATTCTCAATTGGTTTCCATTCCACTGGATCACCAATGATATCCATATGACTAAACTCTGCCCTAGGCCTCTTTGACTGACTTGCAATCTCATTATTGAGTGGAGGATCGCTGGTATTTGTGTTACTTAAACTAGAATAATATGTGAGCAGTGTTCTTTTCGGCATCTTCACAACCTAGCAATATAACAAAGTAGCAACTAGGAATCACAAACAAAATTTTTCAGTTCAATATCTCTATGATTTCTTGAAGACTTGAGCTATTAGTAACAACTAGACTTGACAATTGAAATTGATTTTAAATGACAAATCAAAAATGTTATATACCACAATTCCTCAATCTGCTGTGCTGGGCAATGGGCTGATGACCTGCTGCAGTGCTGCTGCTTGCTGCTGACGCCCTTTGCACCTTGCCCAGATGCCCCCTTCCCTGCTTGATGCCGCGTCACGCCGCCGCATCCCCCAGCTGGCCGCCAGCCCACCTGCACCCTGCCTTGCTGCCGCCCGCCAGTAGCCAGCGGCCGGAGTGCCGCGTGCCCTGACTGCTGCAGTGTCGGCGCGCCGCCGCTACGCTCGCGTCCCCGGACCCCCCCTCCCCCCCCCCCCCGCCAGCCGCCGCAACTCCTTCTGGAAGTCGTCGGCCCGTCGCGCTCGTCTGCCGCCGCCACACGTCAACGGGAACGCCGCCAGGAGGCCAAGAGCCGTCGTCCTCTCTCTGCGGCTGGAGGCAGGAGATTAGGGTTGGGTAGGGTTGTGGGGATTTTTTGTGCTTTCTAAAAATCTCAAACAAAGTCTATCTTAGCCCTCCCATAGGATTAGAATTTTAGGGGGTATTAAGGGGGCTCTAATGGTTCATTAGGCCAGTCACAATGGGGGTTTCACTGGTGTGTCATGCACATTTAATAGGGGTAAGACTGAATAAAAAATGATTATTTGCATGAAATGGGGATGAGAGAGAAGGAAAGAGTTTCATCCTGGTGAAACTCGTCAGCGTCGTTTCCAAGTCCTCGGTAACAGAGTGAAACCCCCGTTGAGGCCGATTCGTTTCATTCACCGGATCTCTTGCGTCCGCCTCCGCCGTGCGACCTCCGCATTCTCCCGCGCCGCGCCGGATTTTGGGTACAAATGATCCCAGCAACTTGTATCAATTAAATGCTTTGCTTAGTCTTGGAAACGTCAAAGTGAAACCCCTCCACTGTGGGGATTGTTTCATAAAAGATTTCATTTGAGAGAAGATGGTATAATATTTTGGGTAGCCGTGCAATGACACTAGCCATTGTGACTGGCCTTAGGGGGTAGTGGGGTCTAAAGACCCCCTGCCCCACCCCCACGCTGTCTCCGCCATAGATTGTACAATCGGCTGCTTACTCCTAAAATATCATGTCAGTACAATACTAAACTATTGTATAGTAGTCCTTATATCATATCATGCTCTATCCTAACAGTGGGCATTGTCTGTCTTGGAGTGTGTGTAGCTAGTACTTATAGGATCCATATATAGTACTCCCTCCATCCCATAATATAGCAATCTAGTACCGGATGGGACACTTGATAGTACAATGAATCCAGACATGCTTCCTGTCCAGATTCGTTGTACTATAAAGTGTCACATCCAGTTCTAGGTTACTATATTACGAGACGAAGGGAGTATATCATGCATGCATGGGTATTAAATGTGGGGCCTATGTCAGGCATAGCACCCCGTGAGAACTGGTGCAGTGTATAAATTGACGAAAGATATTATCACGGCCCCATATAGATTAAAACAAGATAAAGAAAACCAGTCATCTCTCTTCAACATACTGGCAAAAGACATAATTTGTCTGACATGTGGGCTCGGTCACATTCTCTTTCCATTAGAATTGGACTATGATTAGTACCCAGCTCTTGCTCGAGATTGGCCAAAAATGATACCATGCACGGTGTATGGGTGTGGCTCTATCTTCCTCCCCCCCCCCCCCTCTCTCTCTCTCGTAGTGCCTCCTCTAAGTGCAACACTGCATATGCTCTTAGTCGCTGGTCTGTGTTGTCTCTCCTCAAGTCCCATCTCTAGCTTACTTTTAAAACCAATGTGGCAGATTTTCAGCTAGCAATTATAGTTGGTACTTGCTCGTAAAGTCATAAGATATCCATAAGAGCAGATTTCTAGATTCCATGATTATTGGAATCGTTTACCAAGAGTCGATGTTAAACTACTAAAATTCAGTGCGCGGAACGTACGTTTGGAATTTTGTATCCTAGCACACATGTAAGGCCAAGGGTACTCTGTCCAAGAGATGAGAGCAAATTTTTGTAACTTTGTTAAGCAACGTCCAACTTTGACGTTTCCCGAGCAATGTGTGCAGTTACTCAAGACTTGGTGAAATTTCACCTGAGAAACAATCTGTGTGGCTTGGAGTGGGATCTGGTGGAAGTCTATGGCGCAGCCCAGGTACAAGCAGCTCGCTTTGGTGAGCAAGCACACTCACATTAGGACAGCCAGACCATAATAATGACATGTTGATGTTGGGTCGAATGAAAACTGGAGGAAAATTAAGTAGGCTAATTGTGTTCTCAAGGAATTTTCAAATTAAAAATAGAGCAATTCATCGAACAAAAGATTAAGGTTCTGTAAGTGCATTTTGGATTGCTTGAAAGGAAAATTTCCTTTTGAAGGAATTCTAGCATAAGGTCTAACCAATACAATATTAGTTTCGTTTGATTATTTAATATTATTGTTTTAAACAATAAACATAGTTATGCATAACAGTCACTAATATTAGGCTCTTAAAATTGCCACTAAGGCAAATTTCTGTGGTATAGCAAAGGAAGAGTAGAGAGAAAAGTCGATGTTGAGCTTAACATCGATTATTGATGGCTTTCCGTGCGTATTGATTGCAACCATGGTAGCCACACAACGAAACACTCGAGTAAAAGTAAAAGAAAGAAAGTTCTAGTCTAACAGGTCGTGTACATGACAACGGCTGATGTTTGTGTGTACTAGTCCAATGCTTCTTCCTACAAGTTAGTTTTAAATCAATCTAGTACTCCATCTGTTCTATACTACGAGAAATTTTAGAGTTGTACATGATTATTAAGAAAGTAGGTAGAAGTGAGTGGTGGAGAATTGTGATTGGTTGGGAAGAGAATGTTGGTGGAGAAGTTGTTATATTTGAGACAAATCCTAAGGGCTAAAAGTTGTTATATTTTGAGACGGGGGACTATGAGATATGGTCATATGACATATCCTAGTACGACAAATTTAATATCACATCTCATACTAGGTTGGTTTATTTTGAAATGGAGGGAGTACTAACGCAGGAAATTCTAACTTTGCTTCTTCCTCCATAGGTGTTACTGCTAGCCACACATTCACTATTCACTATTCCTATATAATTGTCCCCATGAGCTGTGATTCTAGGCTACCACATCATCTTATTTATTTCAACCATTACATCAACACAAATTTTGACAATTTGACCCTTTGTAAAAACTAATTTTACAAATGAACCGCGGTCAAAACTTATTTCAGAAATGACCATTTTGTTCAGCGCCAAATTGTATGGCGCTGAACTTATACACCTCAGCGCCACGTCAACTGGCACTGAATGCCGTGCCATCGTGGATGGGAGGCTGAGTCGGCGTGCCAACGTGCATTCAGCGCCGTACTATTTGGTGCTGAGGTGTCTAAATTCAGCGCCATACGATTTGGCGCTGAACAAAACGGTTATTTTTAAATAAGTTTTGGCCACGGTTCGTTTGTAAAATTAGTTTTTGCAAAGGATCAAATTGTCAAAATTTGTGTTAGATCAATATCAAACTTCCATAGCAATTGTTAAATCACTTTCCTCCTATCCTATGTCTCCGTATGCATGCATATGTTAGAAACATCTAGCCATAAAAACTGCCATCAAAGCAATTTTTAAACTAGAAACCACCACTAACAATAGTTAGACAATTGCCTATGGTTAATCTCATTTATTCTCTCATACGTCTCTTGCAATTCCTCCTATAATTAGGACAGTCCTCACACCCCATCGGCATCCTCTATCTTAAGAGCGAGTGTATCGTCCTTCTTGATCCATGTTAATCACAGGTCCAGCATCGGTTAATTTCCTCTACTGTTTTAGTTTTATTGATTATCTATGTAATATAGGATAACTTGCCTGTTTTTGTTATAGTGTTCTTCCCAGATTGAAAATAAATCTTAAGTGCTTCATTGCTTCTACTCCCTTATTTCTACACACATTGCAAATTTTAAGCACATCCTTTTTTTATCAAGTTTTCAAGCACTTCATTGGTCCAGTTTCAACAAATTTGCTTATTCCCCAATACACATACAAGAACAAGTTTTACTAATAGACAACTCAATCATCATACAAAACAAGACACACAACCACTTTATAGGATAGCAAATATATTTTTTTTACTATATTTGTCTTTCTAGATTTCCAATATATGCTACGTTAGTTAAATTAGTTTCAGGTTACGAAGTGGTACCTACTGTCTACTAACAGTATTGCAATATAAGGGCCCCTTTGAATCGCAGGATTGAGAAAACGTAGAAATAGGAAAAATATAGGATTTTGATAGGAATGTAAGTATAAAACAGAGGATTGCAAAACGCAGAAAAAATATAAGAATAACCGTTTGATTGAACCGTAGGAAAAATATAGGAATTGGATGAGAGAGATAGACTCAAAAGAAAGTTTACCAAGAGGTTGAACCTCTTGCTAAATTTCCTGCAAAATCTCTATAGAATTGTCCATTCCATAGGAATTTCAAAGGATTGGATAGGATTCAATCAATAAAGGGCTTCATAGGAAATTTTCCTATAGGTTTGAAATCCTCCGAAATTCCTATGTTTTTCCTCCAAATCAAAGGGGCCATAAGTTTGCTTTCTAGAACAAGACTTGATAGCAACTACTTCCAGCAAATTCTGCATTTTCAAAGCTTCCTCCAAATAGTTGTCTTGAAGATGATTCATAAATACAACGCATATTGCAACATATATCATGACCAGTACCATAACCACTCAATTCACCTGGTTCATATCAATAGTTTGGAGGGCTTCACATTACACATGTCCATTATACCTAATTTACATAAGTATATCATATGGCTTTTCAGTTAAAGGAAAGCTTATGTGAAGGCATGTTCAAGTTTTGACTATTTGAAGTAATTCTATACTCATGTGACTTTTAAGTTCCTTATAATGAAGTTGAGAGTTTCTACACATTGGATTTTTTTATTTACCCCCACACAAATGTTTATACCTATATATAGGTAAAAGGAAAACCCTCAGTGACATAATAGTACAAAGAGCCTAGCCTCTCATGTTTTAAGTAAAACTAGACCTACACGATCATATGCATTATTTTCCTTCAATTTTCAAACTAGGCATTGTCAAAGAGAACTATAATCATGGTAAAAAATAAAATAAACAATTATCACTGTTCAATTTTTTTCTATTTTGCACCTTCAAAAATAATTCTCCTTTTTTTATATAAAAGTACCCACCACAATGCGCGGGGCATTACCTAGTTAGCTACACTTCGATGCCTCCATCATTATCTGAATCATTTACAGAGGATGTGTACACAAGGCACTTTGTA